TTCACCTCCTGGTCCTCCTCCTCCTCCTCCTCCTCCACCCTAGCCCCCGAGACGCAAACTTTTTTTCGCGGGGCAACCAGGGCCCCCCGGGATGCTCCTGAACTTCCACGACACCCTCCAAGATGTCAGCCTTGGGCGGCCATGCAGGTACGCTGCTGCGCATGGAGCCCACTTTCTATGCGCCAAGCAGGCCTTTGGCAGATGCAGCGCGCCAGTTCAAGAATTGCGGTACTGTGGCATAGCAGGTACACAGGTGGCTACGGATACTCCTTGTGCTCAGGATCGCCTTGGCCGATTTCTTCGATTCCAATGGGGCGGAGGGAGTGCGGGTAGCCCTACGGGAATAGCGCTGCTCGCGAGTGGTACGTTTTATTTCCGCCCAAACACGTCAGACGCATATGGGCGTTTCTTGGTGATCTTGCGGGTCGCATCGGCGCTTTTCGGATGAAGTCAGAGCGTTCGGACGTTGCCATCATAGTGGCACATGCCCCTGTGGAACCACCAGGGGGCAGAGGTCGTGCTACTGCTGTCAAGTTCCGTAAGGAGTTCTGGGACGCGCTGAAGGGGGGTTCTCCACGAGTTTCCTGCGCGTGCGGTGCCCGTCGTGCTGTTGGGCGCCAGCGCTAGGGTTGGCAGTGAGTTGGGTGTGGTGCTGGGGACACACTGTCGACTAGGACAGTACCAACGGAGACTACTTCAGGGAGACGCTGGAAGAACACCACCTGCGCGCGGTGAGCACTTTTTGAATGCAACCTGGCATGCTACCATTGGGATGGAATTTCAGCTGCCAGGGCTAATTACATTTGCGGTACGAAAGATGTGGGAGCTTGCGCTACTGCATGCAGAGCTTGGGAACGGGCTGGAGAGGCGCTTCAGCTCATCGATACGAGGACTCGTGGAGCTCATTATCATGTTGTGGCAGTTCTACAGATTGGGCCCTCCTTCCCAGCGAATCAGGATCGTGATGGGTGGGTTCACACCAAACTGTGTCGGGCAGTTGCGTTTGGAGAAGATAGGCACGCCTTCTTAACTGAGGTCAATCGCGCCGTCGGACAGGTGGCGTTCGACGCGGAGACGCTGACGAGGCAGGGTGCGGACTCGATGCGTTTGGAGTTCCACCGCGCTGCGATGCCAGTAGCCCAGGCTGCTTTTTCTTGCGAAGCCGAATCGAGCTGCGAGGCCGAAAGACACGAGAGATGCTTGGCGGCTGCGCATCGAGCGCATGCTGCAATTGAGGGCTTTGCTTTCTCGTCCCTTTCTTTTCTTCCCTGTGCCTTCCCACCTGTTTCGTCCTCTGTCTTGCTTGATCTTCGCCCTCTCACCTTCTGTGGCGCGCTCGGTTGTGCTTGTTAGCAAGCAATATGGGGAGTGTTTGGCCGATATGTGCGAGTATGCTAAGCATGGGGCCCTGTGGAGGCGTTCCGGCCGCGTTGTGAGGTATTTCGCGCGACGCGACAGAAACCGGCATCTCGGGCTGCGGGCGTCTGAGCTCGAAGATTCCTGGGACGAGTGGTCATTTGCGGCCTCTTGGGAATTTATTCGCAAGCTGAGTGGGGAGTCGCGGGGGCCCAGGCCGGGCCTGCGCACGACCCCCAGCATGCATTTAGACTGCGAGACTTGGCCTGACTTCCTGCCGAGGCCTGGGGGGGGGGGGCGGGGGATTTTCGGCCGGCGCCCCCAAGTACGACGCAGCGCTAGGTGAACGTCTCACTCGCGAGCCGCGAGAGGGCGACTTGCAAGATGCCGCTGCAGCCGCGAAAGAGGTGCGCGGACAGATCGCGGGGCTCTTTAGACGCGCTAAGTCGCGCCGCGCACTCCCGTCATGGTCAATGCTGGCTGGCGCATGGCGCATGTTGTTCTGGCCTGAGGAGCTCGAGCCACGCGCGAGAGCAGGTCTCGGCGCGGAGTCAGAGAGCTGGGACTTGCTGGCGATTCGGCACTGACTGTTCGCACTTTAAGTAGCTGTGAGATACCATGCAGAAGCGCCGCTGATTTGGCACTGCAGTCAGGCGTTTACGCTCGGTCAGGCCAGCGGGGGAGCTGACTGGGCAGGGCTTCGTCTGGTTCATAGTTTAGATCCGTTCGGGAAGGCGTTCTACAAGTATCTTTGGAAGGCTAACCCTATGCCATCGCGCGAAGCCTCCAGGCATTGCGCGCGCGCGGATGCCTTGAGCATTGGCGGAGGGAAAGAGCTATCCTAGTTCAGAGCCTGGTGCAATAATGACTAGGAGAAGCGGGTTTGCGTTTCAACGGGGACTTTCACGACGCGACGAACGCGTTCCACAGTGCAGCGCACGAGACGTTCATGATCCTTGCCCGCCTGCGCGCGGACAAGTTCGCCACTGCGCTCTTTGCAGAGAGATGGGTGCAAGGTCGCGTCAGCCTGGAGTGCGTCGACGGTGTTTTAGAGATGGGGATCGGATATGGTACTCTGTGTGGGGGCTCTATCGCGCGCCGTTGGTCCCTGGCTCCGCATCATTGGTCTGTTGATGGGGTCGCGTGCACCGAGCGCCCTGGGCTAAGCGTCGCGCTTATGTTCCCTAGTTGAAGCACTGTTTGGCGGATGACGTGCACGATCGTGTCCGCCTCTGTTTTAGGTCGCACCAGCCAGTCGACGTGTCCCTGACTGCGTTCGCTGACGTTCTGGCTAGGACTCGTTTCGCGCGCCCGCTTGAAGGCGCGGCCAGGCTAAACAAAACCAACGCAGAACATTTCAAGGACAGACTCGGCATCGTCAACGTTCAGGCCAACTTCAGCACTCAGGAATGTTTAGTGCACCTTGGAGGTAGAGGTGCCGCTGCCGCACGTCGTCGCCAGTTTGGAGGGAGGTGCGTGGAGGGAAGGGCATCTGGAGACTGAGGGGCGGAGAGGAGATGTCTGGCATAGTTGCGCGCGCTCGCAGGCGCCCTGGACCGTTTCTTTACGCGGCGGCAGCCCAGCGGGATGTCCGATTTTTTGTTCCAGGGATTCTGGCAGCATTGCTTCAACGAGCGTTGGAAGAGTATTGTGTTTCGTCCTGTGGTTGAGGGAGCGCTGATGTCTGGCCTTGTCGCTCGCGTTTTGCGCGGCGAGAGCGAGTGTGAGCTGGGGGGCGCGCGGGCCGCCATGTCGCGCAGATTGTTGAGGGGCAAGGCTAGCGGTGCGCATCGGGAGGAAGAGGAGGCCCAGTATTGTACCATGAGTGATACGAAGGGTTTTTTCTCAGTTGAGGTTCGCGCCTGTTTCGCTTGCGCTTCGCGCGCGGAGACTGAAGTGGATGCAAGACATAGCGGGACGGCCTCTCCGCAACTGGCAAACCCGTGGGGCGCTGTTTGGAGAGAGTTAATCGGGGGGGCGCGGAGTTCAGAAGCTTGGGCGGGGTGGGGTATCGAGTGGGGCCTGTTCGGACCTGGTGGGGGCAGTTTCAAGCTGATATTGTTGACCTTTTTTATCGTGCTGGCGAGTGCCTGCAGCGCGTTGAGCATGTGCGCGCGCGACCTCCGGCCATCCTCTGCGACGACGGCGTGCGACATGTCTTGCTCTCCACGGATCCTCGTGTTCTCGCCACTGAATGCCTAAGTTAACAGATGCTTCCCTCCGTCTCCCTGGGCGCCTCTCCTCCCTCTCCTCCCCCGCCTACGCCCCCTCCTGCACTTGGCTTTGTCTGTGGTCTCAGTCTGGGAGAGAGGGGGAGGTACCTGTACTGCTGTATCCCCCACTTGGCGACAGCTCCTTCTTCATTAAGTCAACTCTCAGCTTCCACATGGTTTTAGAGATCTTGCTCGTGTGGCTACTGCTTCTAACGCGTGTTTACTGTGTGGAAATATGTCTGCTATTACAAGAACCATTAGCGAGCATTTTCTGCGTAGTCTGGTCCTCCCCCCCCCCGCCCGTTACGAGTGTCTGATGTGCAGGGCGTCTGTATGTAGATATTCCGAGGCTCAGTGGCATTTGCTTGAACTCGTACCGTTGGAGTTTTCTTATATTTGTCTAAAAAGATATTCCCGCACGGTAAGCATGTCCCAGTCACATGTGCCCAATCACATGTGTTTTCGGTTTTTGGCCAGGTGGGTACGAACCCTGCTGACCCAGGTGTTCAGGTTCGCAAGCGCACGGCCGTTGAAGATGGCAGCACGGAGAAGAAAACCGACCCGGCCTTCAAGGTAGGCGTCATCATCTCCCAGAGGACCCGCCTTCTTGAGGCGGCGTGCACCACGCAGTTCACGATCAAGGTTGCCGATCCCGGCGACCAAGTCATGAAGTCCGCATTCGAGAATGAGCACATCCCCCGTGTCAGGGGCCAGAAGGGGCACGGTCTGAGCGCGCCTGACAGCTTCATGATCACTGGTAGCCACATTGCCGCGACGTGATGCGCCAGAGCAGCGGGCAGTGCTTCGCAAGTTTCTAGATAACTTTGTTGCAGGCAGTCACCAGTCCCAGCTCCTGATCAGTCGTTATTCGCATGGAAAACGTGTTCGATTCTGAAGTGCGCGGGCTGATGGTAGCCATCAACGATCCCGTGCTGGAGGCAGCGGTTCTCTAGATGTTAAGCTCTTCGAGAGAAGAGGCCCGTGTCTTCACTGGCCCGAGACCCGCGGGCTACCTTGAACTCGAGGGGCAAAGGTTGGTTGTTTCTTGAGTGCGCAGCAGCCTCAAGAATTTGGCCGTGCGCCGACGTAGCCCGACGGGCACCGTCGCTGGCGCCCTCTAGTGGTGGAGTGCCGAGTGCTTGATGTGAGGGGGGTTTCCCTAACTTCTCCCAATTCCATCCGGCCCTTGGATTCAGAGGAGCGGTACCGCTACTTCCTCCTCATCCTTCTCTTGCTCCTCCTCCTCCTCCTCATTTTCCTCTTCCTCCGCCCCTTTCCGTCCTCGTCCTCTTCCTCCTCCTCCTCCTCCTCCTCCTTCTCCTTCCGCTTTTCCTCTTTTTTTTCCTGCACCTCTTCCTCCTTTCCCTCCTCCCCCTTCCCCTGTCGTTCGCCCTCTGCCTTCGCCGTTCGCTGTTCTGCACCCTCCTCGAGGTGGCCGCCTCCGCCGCCCGCCCTGCGGAGCAGGCCCCGCGCCTTGCCGCGAGCGCGGGGCGGGCCGCTCTCGGAGCTCCTCGAAGCCCCGGGTCCCCCTCGCCTCCTCGCGGGGCGGGCCGTTCTCGGAACCCCTCGAAGCCCCGAGCCCCCTCGCGCTGCGAAGCAATCGCGGCGGGAGGTTCTGAACCATTCTCAGCACCTGGAGGGGCCTTCGCCGGGCCCCTGGGCGGCCCAGCAAGATATTGGGGATGAACGTCATCGGGTCTCGGGGACAGGGTCTGGGCCTCCGGGAGAGTCCGCTTGGACAGCAATCAGGACGTCGAAGCGTTTGCTCTGGGGCGGCCTTGTTGCCTTTTCGTTGGCCTCCCGGAGGCTTCTCGTGGTCACGGCTGGATCCGCCTCGAAAAGCGGACAGGGATGGGCCCCGGGACGGGCCCAAGGACCGTCTCTGAGCGGTTTTGGGCCAGACGGGAGTGTCGTTGTTGTCTCTGCTTGCCCTCCTCCGACCTTGCCTTGTTCCGGAATCCTGCGATGGCGTCGGAGTCTCTGGCGTTTCGTTTTGGGTGTTGCAGGCAAGGGTCGTGGGGCGAGTATCCGTACTCATGGCTTCGCAGGCGGGGCCCGCGGTCCGCGACCCCGAGGATACGGATCGTTTTTGTTGCCGGATGTCCTGCGCGGAATTCATTCGTTTCTCCGCTTAAGTATCCGCGGGACCGCGCCCCGCAATCCAGACCGCGAGAGCGCGGGTACGGATATGTTCGCCGCTCGAGAAAGGGGCTTTGGAGGTGCCCCATAGGGGCCGTGAAGGTGTACAAACGGGGCACCTGTTCTTCATCCCCACTTTGCATTGTCCCCCCATTAAGCATCGCCCGAATGTGGTGCCGCCATGAAGGGAGTGCGTCCTGCAGCGAGTGTGGTCCCGCCATGTGCCATGTGGCACTCGGCTCTCCTCCCCAGCTTGCTTCCCCGCCCCCCGAGGCCTTCGGCGAAGGGGGCACCGTATGGTCCGTGGCGGACCGGGCAGCCGCCCCGTGTCGGTGCGGGGCCGAACTCGAATTCACAAAGGCTCACGACTCCGTGTCGCCCGCTGTCGCACTCGAATTCGCAAGGGCTTTCGACTCCTCCTCCTCCGTGGGCGGCCGTGGCCTCGCCGTGGTGGCTGGCGCGGGGGAGGCTCTTCAGAGGCCTGCGGGGGTGTTCCGAGGTCTTCAGGGTCGTCATGGAAACGAAAGCACGGATACGTGCGCGTGGGTTCACGACTGGTCCCGCTCCCATCATGCGACCGCACGCTTGAGAAATGCCCTGGGGAGTCGCAGCGCCCAACCTCGGACGTGGACGATCAACAAGGGAATTCCCAGGTCGTCGTCGACGTCGCCGTCGAGGCCGCCAGGCCGCAGCCAGCGACCCAGACGAGAAACAGCTCATTGTTCAATCCTCCCTGCCTTTTTAACCTTTTGGCCGCACTGTGCAGCATCGGCGGGCTCCGTCGCCAGGTCGGACGCTGCTGGCTTCGTGTTTCGGGGTGTACGTTTCCCGATTCGGCGCCCTCGCCAGATCGACGGATCCGTAATCAATGTTGGCGGGCGTTTACTAATGTAGGGGCCGGGTAAACATTGAGAGAACGCCCATCCAGACAGGTTGATCGATTGAGGATTTTTTCAGTTCCCAATCGGATTCGCCAGTAAATGGGTTTTTGCCAATTCTCGAAGGCGCCTTGAGGGTTTGCAAGGCGTCCTTCCTGGGCCAGAGCAGATGGGGTAGGAGGTTTCTGGGATCGCGCTGCAACTCCGATGCATCGGTGATGCGGCGCGATCATCCGACCCCGCATGCTCTGGTCCGATTGGGAGGCTTCCAGCAGTGTTTAGCCCTCGCGGGCACTGGGATTGCCGAGGCTGTCTCGGGCCACTACTGGTGGACGGCGTTGGGGGGGAGAGGAGGAAACCAGAGCTTCTCGACCGTGTTCGCAGGTGTTCGGAGGCCTTCGCCTGGGCCCCCGAGGGGTTCGGAAGGCCTCAGCGGCCGTCGGAGGAGGAGGAGACGACCAGTAATATGAATCGTAATGAGATAGGGGAGGACAAGAGGAAGATTCGGAGGCGAAAGGGGATGGAGGAACAGGAGAAGCAGGAGGAGGAGGAGGAAGAACAGGAAGAGGAGGAGGAGGAGGAGGACGCGGACTAAGAGGAAGAGGAGGCGGATGAGAAGGATGGAGGAGGTGGAGGTCAGAGGTCGCCAGCACCAATTGCCGATGCTTGCGAACAAGCGATGTGAAGGAACGGGTAAGATGATGTGGAGACGAAGGGAGGAGGAGGAGGAGCAGGAGGAGCAGGAGGAGGAGGAGGAAGAGGAAGGCACAGGCAGAGGGCAGGAGGGACGAGGAGGAGCTGGGGATTTGTCCTACAACCACCAAAACACACTGTACGCACCCCTCCAACCAGCAGCAAACCATGAGACCTGCAGCTGTAGAGGCCACCTCAGAGCGCAAGTAGCTGGTAGTGCGGGACCTGCCATCATCACCGCTAAAAGGCACCCACAGTTTGCGAGACGACAGGCTTGAAGCACGAGACATTGCATCGCATGCGACTGACCTCAGCGGTGGCGAACCCAGGGCCAGGACACACGGAGCCAGGAACCCCGACCAAGCGCGGGCAGTTCGGTAGGGTTTTAAGAGACACTGAGGCAGGGCATTGCACCAAGCAAAATGCCAGCGGCCATGTCTCGAGTGGCCAAGCGAGCCGGGCTGAAAAGCGCCACTGCTGAGGCAGCGGTGGCGACGTGGGGAGCATAGGGAAGAGGCTGCAGCCTGTATCGTGCCATCCTCCAATTCTCGCTGCAAGCTGGGCCCGAGGCCGTCGGCCCGAGGCCGAGAACAGGAGGAGGAGGAGGAGAAGGGGAAGTTGAGCAGGACAGGAAGAGGCGGAGGACGATAGAGACGACGAGGAGGAGAGGAGGAACAGGATGAGGAGGAGGAGGAGGAGGAGGAGGAGGAGGCGGCAGTGGAGGAGGAGGAGGAGGAGGAGGGGGAGAGAGTGTGAGGATGAGAACGCGGAGGGTGAGGACGACAAGGACGACGACGCGGAGGAACAGGAGGCAGCGGCAGGAGGGCCCCTCCTCCCGACATGCCAGCAGGCGCCTGCGCCGGCGCAGGAGCGCCCCACGCTTCCTTGCTCTGCTTTCCAGAGGGGAGGAGGAGAAGGAGGAGGAGGAGGAGGAGGCGGACATGAGGAGGAGGAGGAGAAGGAAGGAAGACAGGAGGAGGAGGATGAGGTGGAGGAGAAGGAGGCGGGAGGAGGAGGAGGAGGAGGAGGAGGAGGAGGAGGAGGGCGGAGAAGGAGGAGGAGGAGGAGGAGGAAGGAGGCTGAGCTGGGCGGAGGGGGGAGGAGAACAGAAAGAAGGCGGATGGGGGAGGAGGATGAAGGAGGCGAGAGGAGAAGGAGACGGCTCGTGAAGGCGGAGAAGCCTTGAAGGGGACCTCCTCTCATGTCGAATGGGGGGCCTAGGGGAGACGTAAAGGGGTGAGGATGCTTGAATTGATATGGCTCAGGGGAGCCTGAATCCCGTTGGTGGGATCATAGGCTTGGTGTACCATCATGGTGTACCACTCGAGGCCAGTCGAAACTATGGGGCAAAGTGGCGAAATTCCTGAAGAACGGACGGATGGAGGGGGAGGAGTGAAGAGTAGGAGGTGGATGCCTGCCTTGCTCGTGCATAGGCGGAGACGGCTCCTCGAGCGGCTCGCGAGGATTGGTCCCCCCCAGTCCCCTATGCCCTCCCACAGACCAAACATACAGCCCAGAAGGGAAATCGGACTTGGGGATCCCCCCCCCGCAGGGCCACTCGGCCGCTCCTTGATCGAGGATTGACGCCTACCCCTCATCTATCCCCGAGTTGGGGTATATGTTGTTTTGGTCCAGTCGAACGGCCCATAGAGTCAGGGATTGGGGTCGCCATACCTTCATTAGTGCTCGGCGGCGGCGTCATCGTCGTGGTCGTCGTGGTCGTTTCGGCGGCTGCTCCTCGGCGTGGTCGTCGTCGGCATCGTCGTCGACTCGGAGAAAGAAAGGTTCACAAATGAGCTGCCGTAGGTTCGCGCGGATTTCTCGGGTCTGCGCTCGACCCCCGCTCCGCGCGCCAGGGGAGGGTGATCCAGCTCGGATCCCAGAAGTCCGCGAGGACCCTCCGGCGGTTGATGCGTAAGTCTGCAGGTATCCGCCTGAACAGCTTGTCTGTGGGGGTCCACAGTGCTTCTGAGAGGCCAGGTAGGGGGCTGCCATGATCTGGAATCGGTGGGGCGCCGTTGTCTCCCAGTGACTCCCGGTGCCTCCCTTTCCCTAGCCCTCTATCCCTATCCCTTGTCTCCTTCCTGTCCTCATCCCTTACCCCTGCCCCTACACCTCCGTAGCCATTTTGGCTCAAGATGCTTGCACTTGGGGGCTTCCGCGCCCTCGTGCCAAAGTGTGATAGCTCTGTTTCCCGAGCCAGACAATCCGATTTTTCAGGGGTCCTCCTGCTGGAGGGTTCGCGAGCCCCATGGTCCCACCGCCTCCCGTCTCCGATGTGCTGCGCGGGCCCAGGACACCGTTCTGGGGATGCAGTTGTGGCGCAGACAAGAACTGGGCGTGCCGAGTCCGCTGCCGCTGCGGCACCGCTGCCCCAGCCCGCATTGTCGCCGCAGCCAAGACCGCACACGCCAGAGCTGAGAGAGCTGAGAAGGAAGTGCAAGGGAGGAAGCCCGTGCTTGGTGGCCGTCGAGCCACACCAGCGCCATGGGCACGGGACCAGAACGAGGAGCTCCGCAAGCAGGTGGCCGCGCTCGAGCGCAAGTTGGCCAACACCAGCCTCAAGGACCCGACGCCCGACCAGGGTACAGGTGCTGAGAGGCCGAAGGATGCAGGAACTACCCGTGCAGAGATCCTCGCGTCGATCTCTCTCTATGAAAAGTACCTCAAGGAGCCGTCGCTGCCGCCTAATGTCAAGCAGGCGCACCAGCATGAGATTGAGACCCTCCGTGTGCAGCTCGAGAGTGTCCAGTCTCCTGAGGCTGCCCATCGCAG